CATGTTTAAATGACGGCCTGGTTTCGTTCATGTTTCTTTTTTAAATAAAAGTTCAGTTTACAGTCAGCGCTGGTTGCCGTGTATTTCTTCCCCTTCCTTTGTCCGTCCTGAGAGCGATGCGTTAACAACACCATGAGCCTACAATGCATTGGGCTTTTGCCGCACCGCACTGAGCTTGTAGTTCTATCCGAAAGTGACACCGACGCGGTTTCATGTGCGCGGTGGGGAAGATGCACTCTAGGGTATTTATGGGGAAGTCAGAAAAACTGGTGCTCACGAAAGCGCTGTTATGCCCGCCGCTTTATAGCAGCATAGTGTATCCGAAGCCTGTGGAGTCACTGTCCTTGAGCAAAGAGAGCACCCGGCGACTAAGCGCAACAGCACACTCAGATAATGAACTTCCCAATGCTGCTACTGTTCAACAGCAAATATTTTATTGACGGCTGCGGCAGTCTTTCTGGCCTTACATATTAAGGCAACCCGCCACTTCAAGCCCCTCGCGGCCTTACTCCAACAAATGTAAGACATCGATGTAACGAAAGCAGTCTTTACTGTTGTCCTTGAGCGACCTGTTCGCGAAGCGTGAACGATGCGAAACAACACGATCGTTTTGACCGACTTGCAGTGAACGGTTGCTCTCGGCCCATTGCCTTGAAATGTGGACTGTGATTAGGGAGGTAGCTTTGTGGGCAGCAGCATGAAGTCCGTGAACAAACACGGGCGGCTGTTGACTGCAGTTTCTGCCTTCAAAGTATAACCCTAATAGAGACCCCTCCTTGTCGACCAGTCACGTTTATTTCTGGCTAGATGATGGGATAGTCATGCACTTTCTTTTGTGACTAAGCACATTGCAGTTTGCAAAAGCGTTCTTGACCGCACTAGGCGCGCAAAAGCCCACTCCTGCCAAAGGAAGAGACAATGACTTAGTGGCTTCCTACCAACATGCCCGCAAGTACAAGCTTTAACAGGTTGTTTGCTTCTTAAGGATGTTGTTTAAGAGAGTTGAGCTAGTTGGTATCCATTCATAGCTAAAAACAGTGCGGAATAAAGCAAGCAAAAACGATGAAACAAGGAACAGAGATAGTCTTTCTAGTACCGTTTTATTTGGCGCTGTCTTTAGCTATCTAAATGAAGCTGTGCTGCACAATACAATTATTGCTGCTCGTTTCTCCACATATGCGCTTCTTTTCGTTATTTCCTTCCTGGCCACAGTGTGACCGACTTTGTTGCTCTTGTTCTATCTACACATTGCTCTTCTTATGTGGCTTGCTCGACTGTTGACGCGGGATTTAACTTCGGCCGTGGTGGCGGCCGCGTTATCGATAGAGGTGGAAATTCTCGAGGCCCGTGTAGTTATATTTAAGGGCACGTCCGAAAACCCCAGGTGGTCAAAATTTCCGCAGCCCTCCACTGCGGCATCCCTCATTCACATTGTCGTTTTGAAACGTTTTAACCCCAATGCTATCTTAGGTGGCTTATATGAGAAATGCTTTTTTGTGGCTTACTATATAGCATACAACGACTTTGTTGCTAATTATATGCTTTTTCATGTACGTTAAGATCTCATCTTGGCCACTAATTTTGCGAATTTCTTATTCGCTGCTTACCTTGTTAAGTGTCCGGGCAACGCGCATTAACGTTGAGTTATGACTGCTCACTTTTTTTCTGCACTTGGTACTTCCGAAGACGGACCTTCAACTCGGACCTAACTATGTGTGCGCCTTGAAGGGCAAACCTTGAAGGACCAAGTATTTTGATATACGGCTTTGTCGATTCCGTATTTACTTGCAAAATGACTGTATTAAGTCACTAAAGTCGGTCACAACGCGCACGTACACATCGCTGCAGCATAAGTAAAACACGGTTACGAAACGGGCTGTTTTTTTTATTCCTGCCTTCTGTATTAAATGAAATTAGTAATTCCGATGAAATTTAGCCTCGAGGAATAAAGGACCTCCTTCTTTTGGGTCCGGAAAAATATATACATATAGAATGTAAATTTTGATGCAACGTATTATACTGTTCAAGGATATCATGAATCCCGAAAAATCTGCTTCTACATTAGTTAACCAGGTTGTTGGTGCAACCCCCGGGCAGGCTCGCAACACGAGTTCTCATATTCTGGAAGTAAATCTCAAAGTGGGCCACTTGCTGAGGCCCTACCAAAGGTGGAAGAGTCAATTGTGTTCAATGTGGTTAGTTTTGTAAGTGTAAAGACGTTCCCTTGCAAACCATGAAAATTTGATTGTTGAACAAATGCGCCTTCCAGCGCACTGGGTATAGTAATTGCATTTGCGTAACACTGTAAGCAATGTAAATGATCATGACGGTGATCACGTCTGGCTGAGTTACTCTCGGGAAAAAAAATTTCCTTTGAGCTGGCGGACCGTTTCCTTGCATACGGTTGTGATATGTTGCCGTGTGTAAGTATGTAATACCGGAACTCTGAAAATTTTTTTGAGCTTGATCAAAATGGAATGACTAAATTGAATTCATTTTTTTTTCATGTGCATGCACTTATAATCCCACTCACTTGGTAGCCTTTTCTGCGCGTTCCGTAATTGGACATTGCGGAGCTTATGACGGCTACAACTCCAGCGAGAATGACCTTATACGCTTTCGTTAATACTCCACTATCAGGTAATGTACCTCGCCCTCGTAGCAGCTAGCTATGAGTAAGCAACATCAAAAGAGCTGTGCCCTATAAAAGCGCAGATCATAACGTTCGCACACGCGTATCTGTCTTATGTAGGCGTCAGGGTTACATGTGCTTTATTTTATAATACATGGCAAGTGCACCCTCCTTTTTCACGCATATAGCGAGCATGCCGAAGTCGCTGTTTGTCAACAGAGAGAGGCTCACTCGTCAACCGCGGTATACCAGAATCATGAAAAGTAAGAATTCGTATTTCGACAATATTTCGCTTTCGTCTTTCACTGGTGGCATTGAATTGGGGTCACGTAGACGGGTACATCAAAGAGTCATTTTGCGAAATTCTTTGCAAAAAGCATGCGTGAAACGAATTGATTTCTTGTATGATGTCTTGTATGATATGTAGCAGTTCTTTCTACATGAAGAACGTAAACGTTGAAGAGCTGTTGTCCAGAGTCGTGGAATGTTTTGTCGTCATACTTTTGTTTTGTTTTGATATACTGTGATCAAAACGAGAACAGGTCGCGAAGAAATTGTGTCTATGAAAACGTCAATCGTTCAGCTTTATCAAGAACGGTGCCGTATACGGTGGGTACTGTGCGGTCATGCATAATCAAATTAGACAATACTTTACTGGACACGAGTTGTGTGATGTGTGCTTGAGCAAGAAAACGGCAAAGAGAGGGAAGCGGTGCACATGGCTCTGCCCGTTTTTTTGGTCAGAGATACGCGAAAAGAAGAGTTCACGATATTCATGAAACATCATCCCAGTCTCAAATTCACGCTTCTATTATATTTTGCCAAAAAAATAGAAAGCAAAAAAGGCGACGGAGATACATGACACCAACATGTAATGAAGGGTAGGAAAGCATAGGATGGTTGTTGAAGTTTGTAAGCTCAATGCGGTAATTATGCAATAAAGGAGGATGAAAGCGGGTGAAAGGAACTACTCGCCATCACGAAGAAACAAACTCGCCACAGCTGCATCGAACACTGCAGCTTGATGACGTATCCTCCGTTCAGTGTGCTACGGTCTTCATGAGTATCGAAAGAAACCTGTCTGTGTCCCACCCATGTCTTTTTTCTTGATCGACGACTCCCACGTTACATTATATTCTTGCTTTCGTCCAACGTGTCGCGGGTGTTTGTTCAGTCGGTCGCGAAGGTCGCTGGGGCGCGTGTTGCGGGCGGTGCCGGAAGGCTCCGTTCCGGGCGCCCTTGCACCCGTTGTCTGAGAACAGCGGCTAACCTCCGCTGTCGCAGATACCTGCGCCGAGCGCCGAAACAGGCCAGGGCACTGCATGCTGAGGGTGCACGTCACTCTAAGTACGCCGCGCGAATATTGCGTAACGCTTGTCAGTGATCAATGAACGCGCCGCGCGGGATTCTCCACGGCCAGCTGCCAGCGTTTTCCGGCCCGAACGAGTGCGGCAGGCTTCCCCGGAGTGTCTCCGCTCGGCGCGCTCGTTCGTCTCACGCCTGATTAAGCGACGAAGCGTCTGGGATTGCACGCAGCTGGCGATTTGTGTACGACGCCGTGTCGCAACCTTTCAGACGAGCCCTACCACAACGAAGGTGCGCGTGTATACAGTCTATATCTCATCTGATGTCTTTCACTCTCCGGCGTACGCAAACGAAGGGAAAACAACAGATCGAATCATTCACCGTGTAGATGTTAGTAACAGAGGCGTACTATATATAGCAGAGTGAAGTCGTAAACTTGTCGCTGTCGTGCGCCATATAGAAGTTGTCAACCTGTTAGACTCGTTCCGCGCATCTATTATGCACTCCGTGTCTATGGAGTACCAGACAATGCACGTAAACAAACACATTGAAAAAGGACTTCTTTTGGGGAGAGTTGATGCTTAGCTTGCTTAGGTACTGAAGACTGAAGCGCAAAAAAAAAACATAAAGTGAAAAAGGGAGGAGCAGAAGAGAAGAAAGAGCAGCACTGACTCTTTCTTCTCTTCTGCTCCCCCTTTTTCACTATATGTTTTTTGTGCCTCAGTCTTTCGTACTTAAGCAAGTTAAGCACATTGGAAATGTAAAAACTGCTATAACCTTCTTAGCTGCAGATCAGTGTGAGTACCTTTACAGCTAGCGCGTGCACCAAAGGACGAACTTCAGCTCACCCTTTACGCACACACGCTACAAAGCAAGATTTGAAGCTTCATTTTTATTCTAGGGAGCATGCTAAACCATAACGCCGGTATTTCGACAGTAATTCTAACATGACGATGAAGGTAAGGAACATTCAAAGCTAAACTTAGAAACGTATACATTTCATTCAACAATAAGGCGACAAAAAAAATCAAAATGAGAGGAATAGGGATAGTACAGTACTCACTTCGTAGCGTCCATGATTCGAAGTTGCGCAAGCCGTGGACGAACTTCAGTAGCTTGAAGGCACACTGCGGTGACATTTTGGCGGATAGAAATTGTTCAGCCATGCTGTCATAAGAAGCGTCCAGGCGTTCGCGAACAGTCTTGCGCAGGCGCTCCAGCATGTTCGGTTCCGGTGCCTGTGTTGTCGTGACCATATTGATGACACTAGCGAGTGTCGTGAGCGTTTTTTCGGTGGCGTTGAGCGCTACAGCAGTCTGGGGGATGCTGGAGAGCAGCGCTGTCGCTCCCAGCAGGAGAACCAACACGTTTCGGCCCGGCGCCCGCGCCATGGTATCACAGAGCGAAGCCCGCAGCACGACAGTCTTGTCTACGCGAGGCTGTCGCGTCAAGTACGGCGGTAACTTCTTAAGATGGGAAAGCAGCCGATCGAAAGGAGAGCGTCGGAGGCAACAGTCTCCTTTGGAGCGCGGCCTCTCTCTGTGCTGATCGGGATGGCACCGGGGTCCCTAAAAGCTCGCGCCCGGTTAAGTTTCCGGTGGCCCACTATGATGTGCGTGTTTGCCTCCGGTCGGCGTATGGAAATCAGCCTTGGTCACGGTGGGTCTTTGTGGCCGTCAAGGAGGTATACTCGCATACCCCCCCCCCCCTCCCCTCACCCTACGTGTCTGAGTGGAGAGGGCGCCCGCGTGTCTTTACGTCAACGGCCTCACGGCTAGTCTCTCTGCGCACCAAGTCCGTGCACGAGATTGGCGCGAGGAGGCGGGAGGATAGAGAGAAAAGGGGAGGTGTACGCACCGCCGACGCCCTCTCGTTCGGCCCGACGCGACTCACGTGTAATTGCCGCCTCCTGGTCGACAGCCTTCGACTCCGGCCGCCGGAGTTCCCGTCCAGCGGGCGGTACTAAAAGAGTTCGTGCGAAACAAAAATACGCAAAGCGTGAAACCTGACATCTGACCTCGGTGCGATTGTTACGCACGTGTGACCGAACAGAGATCGCCAACGATGACGTCGGGCTTCATCTGTTTCCAGGCTGACGCAGAATAAACCGTTTCCCATAGTGGAGAAAGATAACTTGCGCGCACGGGGCGTGGGAAGTTTTAGGCGACGCGCCTTCTTTAATCATGGACATCACAGCACCCTGCACTCACGATGTACGTAAACTTTGTCATTCTTTTCTAGTTTTCTGTTTGCGGTAAGGTGGGTGCTGTCCTGACTATGAACACCTAGCTTGCATAAAACAAATTTTCTGAATTTTTTTTTTTTGCCTTGCCCTATGTACTTTTACATAAAGTGAAACATTTACATAATGCACAAGCGTCAGTTAGATTCTATCATGCTTTGCTTAAAAAATACAGAAAAGATTTTGTACGTGTAATTTTTATTTATTTTTTCTTGGTGTGGCGGTCACATCTCAGACGCAGCCTCAGTTGCAGTCAGCAGGCTCGTCACTTTTCTCTCACCACATGCACGACACTCATTGTTTCGCGAGAATGACGTAACCGTGTCTTTTGCAGACTGACCGTACTTGCATAATGCAAAGAAGAGATTCGAAGCGATGGCTATCCTGTAACGTCGAGCTGAATGCAACTAGACGCATTTACTCGAATGAATGTCTCACGTGGCATATGAAATGTCGAGAAGTGAAGAAAGTAAGGATGCATGGGTGAAAGCTAACTTTTGCTTCACTATCTACTCCATGAAAACTCTCGTCCTCAAAAAAAAAGACTGAGCTATCCGCTTAATTGTGTTCGTCTCTGTTGTTCTGTTATCTAGACGGGCAACTCTCGTTGTTTGAGGTCACTGTAAATGCCCTGAAATACGTAATAAACCGCAGAAACGTGCCCTCCGTTTTCACCGACTTTTCGTGAGCGAAAGTAGGGGTAATCTCAGCTTTTCCGTTAAGAAAAATAAGATATGAAACACTGCACTGTCCGTGTGCTTACGGACGATACCATTTCTGCTACAGACGACAAAATCGCAAAAGCGTCGTTTCAGGACGAATATCTGGGTTCGAGGGCACTGACTTGCTGTGTATACGACCCCAGCTCCTATTACTGCACCGTGATTCCCGTTAGCAACAGCTTCGCACGATGTTATATGCGATAGACAGCACTACAACGGCGCACACGTATTTTAGTAGTGAAAGCTCGTTAATTAGAACTCGTTTGTTCGAACTGACGCCCCGGTCCCGGCCCTACCCTATAGCAGTACACATGCATGTGTACTGCTATAGGGGAGAACTCTCGATAATTCGAAAGCGTTGGTATGCATAGTCGTTTATTCAAACTGGAAACTCCTGGTTTTCATCGCTCCTTCCATAATTCTGCCCCAGTGGTCCCATTGTATTGCAAAACAAAACAAAACAAAGCCTATTGAAGATGCTCAAAAACGATACAAGAGCATTTCACAGCAGTTGTGAATTCGGAATCTGCGTTGGAGCCAAGCTTCAAGCAATGCTGATGGAATCGCGAGAAAAGAAACGCTAGGAAATGCAGTTCATTGATTAGATATACTTTGCGTCAACTCTGCCGCGAAAATCAACGTGTTTAGGGGCATAAACAACGTCATGTATTTCATTGAACGATATGTGGGGTTTAACGCCTCAAAACCACCATATGATTATGAGAGACGCCGCAGTGGAAGGCTCCCGAAATTTCGACCACCTGTGGTTTTTCAACGTGCGCCCAAATCGGAGCACCCGGGCGTACAGCATTTGCGCTTTTATCGAAAGGCAGCTGCCGCAGCCGGGATTCAATCCCGCGACCTGCGGGAGCGTCATATAATTTAAGATTAAAGCTTACTGCTCACATGAATTCATGTCGACACTTGTTTCTAGTGTATCACTGACTGTTTAATTCTGTTTGTATTGTTAGATCTTCATCTAGTTAATTTACAAAGTCACCTGCCACATACGCGCAGTAACGCCTAACTCGTAATAACGAGTCAACAGGTGGTTTCTCCGGGCGCTGCCCGCAACGTGTGACGCAATATACTTTCGTTTTAACGCGCGCCTGCCAATTTTAACTCCGCCTAATGCCAACAATTGGATAGTTCCCTTCAACTTTGACTCAACTAGCTTTTACGTATATGCAAGAAAACGCCTCTTCAGCTAAAAGCACGTGGCATGCTATCTGTTTTTCTCAATACTCTCGGTTAGGGTTCTGATGCGTTGCGCTTGACTTGACGAGTGATGAGTGTAGTTTCGTAGCGGGTCACGGCTTTGGCTACTGCGCGGCCTCACCGCTATAAAGGTGCGATGTCTACTATAAAGAGATGTCATTGAAAATACATAGGCGCATACTCACAGAAAGCTCTTACAATACAGTTCTTACTCCGAAATAGCTTCCCCAGCCTCGCAGGGCTCGTTTGCGCAAGCAGGCGTTTGGTGCGTGGAAAAACCACTACACGGGGAAAAAGACATCCTGTGGATTGAGCCGATGCAGGATAGTTGGACCTTTAAGGCCCCCCAGCAGAGGCAGCACACCCCTTTGGCCCTGGCTTCATGTAGCCGGCACAACTGGCCTGAGCACTGGCACTGGCAGTAGCCTTTTCCTATCTCTCGCTCCCTTCATCTTCGTCTTTCTCTATTGCTTTCGATCTTTCTTGTCATCTCCTTACTCTTACGTCCACGTTTTTGGTGGTAAGGGTTAACGTGGTGTATATATTCAACCTTGGGTAGATATCTTAGGTTATAGCGGCCACGTATGGCGGGTGCCTATGTTTCCGCCGTGTCTCGTAGCGTCCCCTTGTTGAGCTCCGTGGTGGGCGGCTGGCATATCTGCCGATTAAAGAGCATAATTCATAGGATCCTCTAACCCTTTATAAACCGATCTCCCTAGAAGAGGTGGCGGACCGACGCAATCTTTAAACTGCTGCCCAAGAAGAAAGGTAACTTTCTTAAATACCATATTACTCAATGCCAGAGTACAAGAAAGAAAGTGAGGACTATACCACCCTTCATTGTATCAAATTGTCTCATGGAAACACTTGGCGCAGGCTACAAAGGCAACAATAACGCCAGTGGTGACCTCCTCCTCAAATTGAAAGATCATCTACAATATGAAATACTGCGCAACATGACAGCATTCGGTGATCATCCATTCGCCATTACCCCACGACATACAATAAACACTATAAAGAGTGTGGTATCTGATGGCGGCCTAATGGAACTATCTGATAGCGAACTGCTGGAAGGCTGGAAAGATGGGAAAGCCATTCATATACAGCGCAACAAAATACCAAGAGACAAACAACAAATTCCCACCAAACAAATTATACTTACTTGTGGTTCCACAGTACTTCCTACTGAAATTTTCACAGCACCTCAAACTACAAGTGGGGCCTTACATTCCGAACCTTCGGCGCTGCTTCAAGTGTCAGCGCTATGGCCATAGTACTCAGAGCTGCCGATGGCGGCTTACATGGGCAAAATCCTGCACCACAGAACATTCCGCTGACGACAACTGTCAATATCAACTGCACCGTGCTAACTGTGATGGTTACCATCCTGCATATTCCAGATCTTTCGTGGCCTGTAAGAAAGAAAAAGAAAGTAACACCACTAAAATCAAACTAAACATCAGCTTTCGCTAAGCGAGACAGCGTGTTTCCCCGCAATTTGCAGGGAACAGATCGTACCCCGAAGTGGTGCGAGGGGGTCCACCACCACTACGGTTTTTCGCGATACCCTGGATCATGCCTGGCGTGCCGAAGCAAATACCACAAGCCCCAAGGCGGGAGCAGCCTCAGCTGCCCCGCCCTCCCTGAACACGGTCCCATCGAAGGCTCCTGTGAACTCTGTCAGCAGCGAGGGCAGTACACCAACTAAGGAAGTGCCATTGACCTCCGGTCGGGGGGGGGGGGGGGGAGGTTCCGTTCATCGTGACGAAACCTACCATACGGGCACGACCAACCGGCGCCTCTCCAGAGGCAATGGACACAACTAGTTCATCGGCGGAACGGCGAGATCCGCTCGGTCTCTCCAAAAAAGACAACACACTTATTACAGGGCCTCCCCGAAGCTCTGTAAAATAAGTCACATTTCTCTTTTCACACACCACGTACGCTCATCACTCTTCTTTACTCCCAGTATACGTCAAAGAACTGCTTCAAAACCTCGACATTGTCCAAGAACTTCTACATAAACATGTTCCAGAAGTGATGTGTGTACAACAGAACTAATATCCAAGAATACAATTTTTTGCGTCAATGTGTTAAATTTCGAAAAGACAGAAATGATGCTGTGGCGTCATCTAGGGGTGTAGCCACGATTATTAATCAAGAAGCAGCATGTGCTCACGTACCACTACAAACATCCCTAGAGGCAGTGGCTGTTCGAGAATTTTTATAAAATAAACTCGTAGTCATCTGCTTTCTATACATACCCCCCCAACACACCTTGGAAACATGAATTCCAGTCTTAAATAGATGAAGGACCAGAACCTTATCTGCTCCTTGTGGACCTGAATGCACAGAGTAGTTTATGGGGTGACTCTTGCTGTCATGCACGAAATTGTCTCATTGAACAGATCCTCTTTTCATCTGGTGCCACTCCGTTAAATCGCAAAGAGCCAACATATTAAAACCTTGATAACAACAGTTACTAGT